CTAGGGACATCTCAGTGGCTCCCAGCCAAGACAAGGGCACCACACTCGTAAGGTGACCCACACTCAGGCTTATTGCAGCCCTTCACCTGCCACCTCAATGACCTTATGTTCCGCCTCACACCAAATTCACACCCCGAGTGATCGCTATGGGCAAGACCTGAAACTTCCCCTTTTATGGAGGGTTTAAACAATGAGCACGCCTTAAAGGAACATTCGAAAGCAAACAGTTTGTGCAAAGTGTACAACTCCTAAGGTCTTGCCCCCACTAAGAACAACCCACCTCCCCTTCTCCTCTGAAGGAATAAAAGGATTAGAATCTGAGGGCAAGCAGGTGGCATGGCAGATAAGGGTGTTAGACTCCCACATGGCCAAGTGTAGTTTGAGTCCCAAACCTGGCAGCTTGCTTTCTCACTTTCTCTCTCTCTCTCTCTCTCTCTCTCTCTCTCTCCCTCTCTGGTAAACTTAAGATAAACAAATAAGTGGAGGGACCAGCAGTTAGCGTAATGGCTATGTCACTGGACTCCCATATAGTCGACCGTGGTTTGCGTCCTGAACCCGGTGGCTTAAAACTCACGCTGGGTGCGTGTGAGTGCGTGCCCAAGATCCCAAGAGGAGAATGGAGGAGAAGGGATTGTGGCGTGGCCATCACCCCTGGGGGGTGATTTCTCGCTTTCTGTTTCTCTGTCTCTCTCTGTCTGTCTGGCGAGCGCACGCGCCCTATAGCAAAAACCTCTAAAAAAAAAAGTGGATAAATAAAGTTAAATAAAATAATTTTTAAAGGGATTAGGGAACCAGCAGTTGCCATAATGGCTATGTCGCTGGACTCCCATGTAGTCGACTGCAGTTAGAGTCCTGGACCCAATGACTTAAACTCATGCTGGGTGCCTGTACACGCATGCCCAAGATCCCAAGAGGAGAATGGAGGAGAAGGGATTGCAGTGTGGCCATTCCCCCGGGGGTGATTTCTTACTTTCTGTCTCTCTTGTCTCTGTCTGTCTTTCTGGCGAGCGCTTGTGCCCTATAGCACAAACCTCTCCCCCTTCCCCCCAAAAAAGGATTAGAATCTGGGAAACTTGCCGTACTGGCCTGTTAACAACCTAACCCAAGGAGTGACACTAACGGTAGAACTTCAGATAAGAGGTAAGGGCGAGGCTGGAGGCAGCGATGTGCTTTGGCCTTCAGCCCAGGGAGAAGCCAGACTGGCTGCACACAGCCCTGCTGGCTGTCCCCAGGACTCATGCAGCAAAGTGCACCTGGCTTGTAGACAATCTATTTCTCTTCCCTTGGGGCTCAAGGAGGCAGCAGCGCATCCACCAGATACATAAATTCCTGCTTTCCTGTTAACATAGCAAGAAACGCCCTTCTGGGTAATGGGGCCTCTTCAAGACAAGTTTGCCTAGTTTATCTTTAAGTCACTGCTCACAGCGGACCTCGGGCCTAAGGAAGAAGAGTTTCCCCAGGCGGGCATTGCTCTCAATAAACTAAAACCTGTGACCTCCAAGGTGAGCCTGGAAGGAAGCTCTCCAGGTAGGGTTCAGGAGACCAGCTCTTTAAGTCTTTCCCAAAGGGATATTTGAGTCCCAAAGGTGATGAGGTGAGCAGACAGTGTCTTGCAGAAAGGGGGAGACCAAATATCCCAGAATGAAGGCCAGAGAGCTGGTGGAAGACGGGAGGGCCTGGCAGAGCTGCTCTGGGGCCGCTGGACATCGCTCCTTTCTCCACAGCCCTCCCATTTTCCACCCAGGGCCCACCCGCTCACACAGGCTGTGCACTCAGCGTGTGAGAACTTACATGTACTGCATGGCTTTGGCCTTTTTATTATGAATATTTTCAAATGTACACCGAATAAGGAAACTCTTCTTAAAGAATTATTTACTTGGGACCAGCAGTTGGCGTAATGTCACTGGACTCCCACATAGTCGACCACAATTCACGTCCCAGACATGGTGGCTCAAACTCACGCCGGGCACGTGTGCGTGTGTGATGCTGAGAGGAGAATGGAGGAGAAGGGATTGCAGGGTGACCATCCCCCCTGGGGGGGTGATTTCTTGCTTTCTGTCTCTCTGTCTCTGTCTTTCTGGCGAGCGCACACGCCCTATAGCAAAAACCTCTAAAAAAAAAAAGAATTATTTACTTAATTTTATTTATCATTATTATTAGTAGTAGTAGTATTTTAAGTTTGTTATAGGACACATGCACTCACCAGAGAGTGAGAAAGTGAGAAAGCACAGTCTCGAACCACAGTCAGCCATGTGGGAGTTCAGCACCTTAACCACCATGCCACCTGCTGGCCCAGGAAACTCTTCCAATGAACCCCTATATATCTGTGTCCCACTTCTACAACTATCATCACATTGCTTATCTTGCTCTATCTGTAAAGATAATGTTTATATAGAAAAGAGATTGGTTAAGAGAGCCGAATCCCACATGGCCAACCACAGGGTTCGAATCCCAAGTCCCAACGGGACGGAGAGAGGGAGGGGAAGGGATTGCAGCAGGACTATGCCCCATTGGAGGTACTATCTCCCTCTCTGTCTCCCCTTCTCTCCCTCTCTGATGAGCACACGCGCTCTCTGGCACGTTAAAAAAGAGAGTGATTACTATACACATGTTTAGTAAATCAGTAAGGGCCCAAGGACTATAAGGAAGAAGGGGTGGCTGACCAGCCTTCCCGGGGTGCAGCTCCTCCCCACTGAGTACGAGTGACTCACCAGACTTCACTCAAGACCATTCCAGATTTGCAGTCTCTTTTAAGACGACCATGCCTGCCCACAACTGCCATTTCAGACAGCTTCTGCCCACGGGCCTTCACCCAATCCTGTCCCTCCCCCTTTGCCATAAGACCCTCCTCTACTCCGTCTACTCTATTCAGACCAGCTTGCTCGTACTGTAACCCTTTCACTGGTATAAAAGACCCTTGTTTTTTCCAAGATCGGCAGACATGTTTGTCATCTCCATGTGGCCTTGCTGGGAGGTGTGACTGCGTGCTCCAGGGGCTGACCCTTACCGGATGCACGTATCCTGAGACCAATAAAATTCCTTTTTCCATATGACTTTTACTTAATACTTGTTCTCTTGGACTTGGTCTATCTATCAACCTTTTGAAAAAATCTTTTTGATGGGACCAGCAGCTAATGTAATGGCTATGTCGCTGGACTCCCATGGAGTCGACCACGGTTCGAGTCCCAGACTCGGTGGCTTAAACTCACGCTGGGCGTGTGTGTGTGCGTGCCCAAGATCCCGAGGGGAGAATGGAGGAGAGGGGATTGCAGTGTGACCATCCCCCCGGGGGGTGATTTCTCGCTTTCTGTCTCTCCGTCTCTCTCTGTCTGTATGGCGAGCGCAGGCGCCCTATATGGCGCGCGCCGGCGCCCCATAACAAAAAAAAAAAAAAAAAAAAAAAAAAAAACTCTCCAAAAATCTTTTTGGCATGTATTCTAGAGCAAACCCCAAACAGGTTATCCTCTCAGCCATAAATTAAATGATACTCATGAAAGGATCTTTGAAATATTACGAACAGGACAATCCCTACATTCACATCTGTTAGAGGTTTTTGTTGTTGCTGCTGCTGCTGTTTTAAGAATTACTTACTTAATTTTATTCATTTATTTTTAATTTGCTACAAGATGGGAATGCTCATCAGAGAGAGACAGAGAAAGAGGGAAAGTAAGAAAGCAAGCTGTCAGGTCCGGAAGTCAAACCGAGGTCTCTCAAGTGGGAGTCCAGGTCTTAACCACCCATGTCATCTGCTCCCCGCCACCTCCAACAGCTAGAGTTTTGAGCAAGGAGGTTGGGACCCACTGGTCTAGCCAGCAACTTCGAGAGAGAATCCGGCCTGGGTGAAGTGGCCTGCCCTGCGCTGGTGCTGGAGCAGGAGCGGGAACCAGGGAGAAGTCGGTCCTCCAGGCTGCCTGGTGAACGATGGTGGCGGGCTGGTGACCGACTTTCCAGGATCTGTCCCCGGGAGGGGGTGGGGGACCCTCCACACGTTGCCGGCTGCAAGAATCCGGGCGTACCAGCAGGCATTTCTGGAAGGTCAGGCCGAGAGCTGGCGGACCAGGGATGCAGCCGGGTGGCGGGACGTGCTACCTGCGGTAACTGGAGCAGGGGGAGTCGGGCAGGCCGAAGCGGAGTACCGGGGGCAGGGGTGGTCCTGGGAGTAGAGGGCCTGTTCCCACGACTGCTGGGATAACTGTGCAGCCGCCGGCCCCAAGCTCCAAGTGGCCAGCAGCCGGCGAAGCTCGCTCCGTGCCCTGGGCGCCCTGGGCGGGGAGCAGGAAGTTGTCGCCCGCAGGTGTGGCCCCTAGGTGCGGCGCGGCAGGTGCAGTGCGGGGTGGCGCGAGAGGGCGCCCAGTGCGCTGGAGGACGTGAGCACCAGGTCGCCTTTGCAGTCCGGCGGCCGCGGCTGGGGTGCTGGGGCTTGCGGCCGGCCCAGCGGAGGGACAGTATTTTCTGGAAGGCGTAGGAGCTTCCGGAGGAGCGGATACTAGGTTGAGGCTCGCGGAGGTCGGGTTCCGGCCGCTGGAGGGTCTCGAAAGCGGGGACAGGGTGGATGGATTGAGGTACGGAAGGGGCGGGGTAGCTGCGGCCTCTGGGAGCGCAGCAGCGAGTCTCGGGCTTGGGAAGGGAGACTGGGGCAGTGAAAATGAGCGGGCAAAGAGGAGACCCCAAAAAGACTCCTCTCATGCGGCTTGACGTACGCGGAGCAGGCTAGCGCGTTTTGGTAGCGGAGGGGCGCAGCGGCGGTGCGTATTCGGGGGCTGGGGCAGAGGGGTCTGCCGCTGAGCCGAACCGGAGAGGAGGATTTGGAGCAGAGAAGAGGTCGGAAGACGGAGGGTGACGGGCCAGGAGGGGAAGCAAGGCTCAAGCACCCCAAGAAAGCCTTCCGAGGCTCCCCCACACCAGCGGGTGGCTGAGCGCGCGGGCTGGGCAGTGGCCCGGAGCCCCGCGGGAGCCGAACTCGCCCACACCGGTTCTCCCGGACTGTGGCTTTAAGGCGGCGACCGGGATGGCAGCGCGGCCCCTTTCCGCGTCTTTGGAGCCCAGCCCTGGGCCCCTCTGGTCTCCCTTGCGCCCCTCCTTCCATCGCCGCATGCCCCCCTCCACCCCGCTCTGCACGCTTTCGCCTTTCTCCGTGCAAACGCCTCTTCCAGAGCACCCCTGCCTCGCTCTCCAGGCACCCCTCCCACGCTGCCCCCGCCCTGCTTTTGCACCTCGGCCCTGCATTTCTCCTCTTCCTGGTCCCTTCCCTTCCTCTCCCCTCCCATACCCCTGCGACCCCTCCCTCCTGGGCCCCAGCCCCTTCTCCCCTCACGGGTCATTTCTGCCCTGGCCCCGCAATTTTAGCCTGTCCCCTGCCTCTCCTGTCTTATCTCACGCCCCGCCTCAGGGTGGGAGCAGGTTGTGGGGCGGCACAGCTGGGCTCACCCCAAAGCAGAACCTTTTCCTCAGGAGGACGGTGGGGAGGCCTCCAAACCACCCCTCCCCCGTGTGACAGTTGAGGGCTGCAGCTTGCAGAGGCAGAAGTGAGCTCACTGCCCTGTACTCCAGGGGACCCGAGTGCCGACCCGGGGTGACCCAGCTCCTCTGCTACCATGAACAGGGCCCCTCTGAAGCGGTCCAGAATCCTGCACATGGCGCTCACGGGGGCCTCTGACCCCTCCGGAGAGGCCGAGGCGGGCGGAGAGAAGCCCTTTCTGCTGCGGGCACTGCAGATCGCTCTGGTGGTCTCTCTCTACTGGGTCATCTCCATCTCCATGGTGTTCCTTAACAAGTACCTGCTGGACAGCCCGTCCCTGCAGCTGGACACCCCCATCTTCGTCACCTTCTACCAGTGCCTGGTGACCACGCTGCTCTGTAAGGGGCTCAGCACCCTGGCTGCTTGCTGCCCTGGTGCCGTGGACTTCCCACCCCTGCACCTGGACCTCAGGGTGGCCCGCAGCGTCCTGCCGCTGTCGGTGGTCTTCATCGGCATGATCACCTTCAATAACCTGTGTCTCAAGTACGTGGGGGTGGCCTTCTACAACGTGGGCCGCTCGCTCACCACGGTCTTCAACGTGTTGCTGTCCTACCTGCTGCTCAAGCAGACCACCTCCTTCTACGCCCTGCTCACCTGCAGCAGCATCATCGGTGAGTGGCCCTCCATGCCTGGAGCAGGGTGGGCCCTGGGGTGGAGACCCCAAAGAACAGGGTTTCCAGGCCGCTCAGACTTGGTCTACTCCAGCTCCCCTGGTGCAGCAGCCTTGTGCAGAAGAGCCCGGGGCTCCGGGGAGCCAGTACCTTGCTGGTCACCCAGGAGGTTGGGGTCTCAGCCAGAGGGAGAATAATATTTTATAACAGTGACACCGGGCCAGCAGGTGGCGTGGATTGAGTGCTTCAAGCGTGCTCATAGAGATCGCTACCCATATTAACCCAACTATTTTTTATAACCAAGTAGAATTGTAATCCACATTTTACAGAAGGAATACCAAAGAAGAAAGGCCAAGTAAGTTGTCCATCACACAGCTAACGAGGGGCAGGGATGGGATTTGAACTGAAGCAGTCTGACTCCATAGTTCACGGTCCCAGCCATGCCACTGTATTGCTTCTCCAAGGCTCAATGACCTGGCTTCCTATCTCTTGTAAAGAACGATGCATATTCTTTTAAATTATTTATTGATGGGACCAGCAATTGGCGTAATGGCTATGTCGTTGGACTCCCATGTAGTCAACTGCGGTTCGAGTCTCAGACCTGGTGGCTTAAACTCACACCAGGTGCGTGTGCGTGCGTGCCCAAGATCCCAAGAGGAGAATGGAGGAGAAGGGATTGCAATGTGGCCATCCTCCCTAGGGGGTGATTTCTCGCTTTCTGTCTCTCTGCGTCTGTCTTTCTGGTGAGTGCACACACCCTAGAGCAAAAACCTCTCCAAAAAAAGAAAAATAAAAGAATTATTCATTGAGCCCAGCAAGTGGCGTAGTAGTCGAGGTGCTGGACTCCCTTATGGCTAACCATGGTTCGAGTCCCAGACCTGGCAGCTTGCTTTCTCACTTTCCATCTCTCTCTCTCTCTGTCTCTCTCTGGTCAAATTTTAAAAAATAAAATAATGAACAAAATTAAATAATTCTTTAAGAAATTATTTATTTTATTTTTAATTTGACCAGAGAGAGAAAGCGAGGGAGAGAGAGAGGGAAAGTGAGAAAGCAAGTCACCAGGTCCAGGACTCAAACCATGATTGGCCATATAGGAGTCCAGTGCCTTAACTACCACGCCACCTGCTGGCCGCAGTACTGTGCATGTTTTAATAAGTACACCGTCACCCTCTGACCTTGCCAGCTCAGGATGACACTTGAGACAGTGGCAAGAGATATGCTTTAAGAGGCCTTACCTGTCTTCCCAGACTTGACCCTCAGAATCTGATCATTATTGATCAGGGCATTGTGTTTGTCATTTCACATGTAACAGCTCCACGCCCTCTCCCCTGCCCCCCAGGTGCATGTTTTAATAAGTACACCATCACCCTCTGACCTTGCCAGCTCAGGATGACACTTGAGACAGTGGCAAGAGATATGCTTTAAGAGGCCTTACCTGTCTTCCCAGACTTGACCCTCAGAATCTGATCATTATTGATCAGGGCATTGTGTTTGTCATTTCACATGTAACAGCTCCACGCCCTCTCCCCTGCCCCCCAGGTCTCCTGGAAGGTCACATCACCATGATCCTCACATACAGACGAGAAACTAAGGCTCAGAGAGGTTAAATTACTTGCCCAGGCCACACAGCTAAGGCAGTAGCCAGGCTGGAGTGCCAGCCCAGACAGGCCAGATTCCCAGGCCGCATTTCTCACCACTCGGCTCCACTTTTGTCCTCTGGAGGTTAGGGCCCTCCTAACCAGTGCAGTGGCCACTGGCCACGTGTGCATGGAGACTCAACGAATGTCGAACATTGATCTCGGTCACTGGCGTGACAGTCTGACTGCGTGGTCATGTTTCATGCGCTCAGCGGCCACGTGCGTGTTGGATGTCACCAGTCATAGAACATTTCCTCCATGGCAAAGTGTTTTGTTGGGCAGCACATGGGTCAGGGAGCCTCTAGCATCCCCTTCCCTCGGGTCTTCCTGGGGCTCTGCCATCCAGGGGTGGGATCATGACGTGCCCGTCCGGGTTCGTCCGGGCGTGCCATCACGTTCATCTTACTTGGCCTGCATAGGCCCAGGCTAGTGCACTGGATGTGCCACCTGTCCTAGGAAGTGTCCCCTTGTTGAACCACTGCTGTATCGGGGGGCCGCTCCGTCTAAGAGCAAGAGAGGAGAGGGAAGAGGACGATGTTCGATGGGAGGAGCTGCCGAGACCCCTCCCTGGCAGGAGTCCCCTGCCTGGTGCAGAACTTCTCAGGGGAAGCTGGTGGCCTCACTTCCTCTTTGACCTCCTTAAAGGCCCCAGGGGTCTCCACTCCAGGCCTGCTGATCCGGCTAGGGTTGGCAAGCAGGGGGCCTTCTGGGAGGAGAACGTGCTAGGGAAACTGGGTGCAAGTCCCCAGAGTAATCCACCAGCTGATGGGGTGCCAGCTTCCGAGTGTGCCGCATTCCCTGGCCATGCGGGCTTGACTGGGGCAGGGGTCCCGGAGGGAGGTTCCTCTCCCCTGCCCCAGTGCTGGCCCCTGTCTACACTGTGTGCCCCTCTTCCTTCTGTAGGGGAAGATGGAGCTCAGACCCCTCCCCACCCCCGTGTCACATGCCCCCAGCAGGAGGGCTGGGTGGTCCGGCTGAGCGGGCAGTGTGGCCCTCTGCCCACCCCTCACAAGCGAGCCTGTGTGTCCAAAGGCACAGGGCCGTGTATCAAGCACCAGCCAGGTAGCAGGGACCTGTCTCCTGCAGCGCCGGGACCACCCCACAGCCGCGTCATGCACTCATCAGCTGGTCACTGATGGTCGGGCACACGCCAGGCACCACGGCAGGCTTTAGAGATACGACGTGGTAAGGGCAGACTGGGCTCTGCACTCCTGGAGGGTGTGGCGATGGCACGTGGCAGCTCCGTGATGGGCACATTCCTGTGGGGACTCTCGGAGGAAGGGGGCACTTACACAGTCTTTCCGGAGGAAGTCCCACATGGTCGGGAGGGCAGAGTAGGGAGGGGACGTTCCAGCAGAAGGAAGAGCATGTGCCCTTCTTCATAGCTAGCCTACAGCAGGCCTCACCAGACGCAAGGCTGCCCGTCAGGCAGACTCCACATGGCCTTGAGAGCCAAGCTGAGGGAGTCTGGAACTGTTCTTGAAGGCAGTGGCCAGCCACTAAATGGTTGTGAGCCAAGGCAGAGGAGAGTAGATTGTTTAGACTGGGGGTCAAGAAAGTGACCCAGATTTTTGGAGAGGTTTTTTTGTTGTTGTTTGTTTGTTTTTGTTTTTTAGGGTTTTTTTTGCGTGTGTACTCGCCAGACAGACAGAGAGAGACAGAGAGACAGCAAGCGAGACATCACCTCCCAGGGGGATGACCACGCCGCAATCCCTTCTCCTCTGTTCTCCTCTCGGGATCTTGGGCATGCACCCACATGCACCCAGTGTGAGTTTAATCCACTGGGTCCGGGACTTGAACCTCGGTCAACTACGTGGGAGTCCAGCGACATAGCCATTACGCTAACTGCTAGTCCCTAGACTGGGGGTCAAGAATGTGACCCAGATTTTTACAGATGAAGGAAACTAGAACTCAGAGAGGTAAGGAAACTTCTCCCAGGCAACTCAGCTTCTAAACTGCAGAGCCCAGCTGGAGGGCAGTTCTTTCTGCTACCAGAGCTTTTCCCACTACCCCATGTTGCTAGATGCTGTGGCTGAAGAGAAAACCGGTGTAAAATACACCCTCTGTCTCCTGGAAACACGAGGGCTAAAGAAGGCACAGGCAGGGCCAGCGAATGGCGTGGAGGTTAACGGAGCTGGATTCCACTGGCCACACAATTCAAGTCCTGGACCCAATGGATTAGAAAAAATGCCAAGCATGCACACAAGCCTCCCTAAAATCCGAAAAGCAGAAATAGAGGAGGGATTGCAGCGTGACCATCTCACTTTTCTTCTCTCCCTCTCTGTGTCTCTCTCGGGAGCGCACATGCCCTCTAGCGAATTGAAAAAAGACAGCACAGGCAGGAAGAGCTGGGTGTTGGGGATATCAGGAAAAGATTCTCCCCTAGGAGCCGGCTTTGATTGTGCATGGTGGAATCCCCTGGAAAGGAGGAGGAACCAGACGTGGCCAGGGCTGTGCCCCAGGGTGAGAAGCAGGGACACGAGAGGGAGGCGCAGAGAGCTGGCTCGGGTGCAGGAAGCCCTGCGTGCCAGGCCAGGGTGAGCAGGATGAGCTGTGAGGGCCCTTTGAGCAGGGATGACACAAGGTCAGTCTTCGAAAGTGTACTTCAGACCACAAGTCATTTATTTTTTAAGAGGTTTTTTGGTTTGGGTTTTTGCTTCCCCCCCCCCCATAGGGTGCGTGCACTCTCTGGAGAGAGACAGAGAAAATGAGAGGGAAGGTAAGAAACCCCCACCCTGGGTGTGGGGAGTGGCCACACCTCAGTTCCTTCTCCTCCATTCTCCTCCCAAGATCTTGGGCATACGTGCTCACGTGCCCGGCATGACTTGCAAGCCAGTGAATCCAGGACTCGAACCACGGCCAGCCTCGTGGGAGTCCAGCGGGAGACCGCTCTATGGTCTGCTAGCCCCAGATAATTCTAACCTAATGCTCCCATGATGGCCTTGTCATAGGCCGTTGTTTATGGATGGCCTTGCCCAAGGGCACCCTAACCACTGAGTGACAGCCATCCTTCAGGACTCTCATTCCAGAGCCACAGGCAGCACGGGCCCTGTTAGACTTCTCCCAGCAGCCTCTATTCTTTTAAAGAATTATTTTTATTTAACTTTATTAGTGTTTTCCAGTTTGATCAGAGAGAGAGGGAAAGTGAGAAAGCAAGCCACCAGGTCCGGGACTCATACCGCCGTCAGCCATGTGGGTCCAGCGCCCTTAACCACCGCGCACCTGCCAGCCTGCCTCTACTACTTCGTGGGGCTCATCAGTCCTCACACGTGGGAGGGAAGACCTGCTTCTCTGCTGGAGCGCCAGCTCCATGAGGAGGGTCTCTCTGGGGTCCCTGCTGTGTGTGCTCTTCGGGTAGTAGGGAGGCGGGATGGTGAGATGCAGGGGTGGCGACGCTCGCTCTGCCAACGCTGGTGTCCAAGTTGTCTGCCTTTCTCTCCCCATCCTCATCGCCTTCCCCCCTCACCCTTCTCCTCTCCCCACTGCAGGCGGCTTCTGGCTTGGCGTGGACCAGGAGGGCGCTGAGGGCACCCTGTCTCTGCTGGGCACCATCTTTGGGGTACTGGACAGCCTGTGCGGCTCGCTCCACGCCATCTTCACCAAGAAGGTGCTCACGGCG